TTTCACAGCCCAAAGAATCCCTTGAAACAACCTCATCTAGTATTTGCTGCCTGAATTGCCAGCCAAGAGATGCCAGGTCCCCCAGCCCAAAGAATACCCAGAGCCTGCCCACCTCCACAATGGCTCTGTAAAAAATATCAAGATCATCTTTGCTTAAAAACAAAACAAAAAAACATAGGCCTTTCCTCATTTTTGTGCCAAGAGTTAAAGGGTCCAGACTCATTTCCTAGAATCACACTAATCAAAGTTGATACCTGTACCCCACTAACAGACAGAGCGGGAGCAATTGCCCCCTCGTCTCCTCCAGAGTAACTACAGGCTCCTTCTACTGGTCCCCTGAGCTGGGCCATGAGTTAAGAATAAGTAGCGCCGGGCGGTGGTGGCGCATGCCTTTAATCCCAGCACTTGGGAGGCAGAGCCAGGGGGATCTCTGTGAGTTCGAGGCCAGCCTGGTCTACAGAGTGAGTTCCAGGAAAGGCGCAAAGCTACACAGAGAAACCCTGGCTCGAAAAACCAAAAAAAAAAAAAAAAAAAAAGAATAAGTGGCCCAGAATTTGGGGAGCAGCAGAAGTGAAAAGGGATCTCAAAGGCTTTCTGGTGCTCGTCACTCACACGGAAAGGTCAAGGCTAGCACCGAGCCCGCCCAAGGTCATACAAGTGGCTGGTGGACACGCTAGGACCTTACTTTCAGGCAAATTCCCACTCTACCCAACCTTGACCCTGACCCCAGAAAGGGCAGGTGAGAAACAGGCACAGAATACTGTGCATCACCATGCCTGAGAGAGCCGACCTACAAATGTTGTCTTTTTTAATCTCCTGAACACCTCCACCTGTGTGCCTCACTGGGACCCAGTGTGGACCTTTCTGGATTCAAAGACACAAAAAGAGCAAAATGGCCATGGGTCAGAGGCGGACAGACCATGGGGACTGCTTCCCAGAGCCGTCCCCTTCTCTTTCCTGAATTCTATACAGTATGAATTGAATAATCCAAAGAGGACAATAAAAACCATCTGGGGAAAAGATTAAAGATGGCAGACCTCGGGAGAGTCTGAGGAAGAGAGCTTTTAGGAGCTGCACTGAGTACACAGAAAAGAGAGACCAGGAAGAAAACAGAGGAACTGGTATTGAGGAAGAGATGAGAAAAAAAAAAAAAAAAACCCACACATGGTCCAGTGGGGAAACTCAGAGAGCAGCGGGCCTAGGGTAGCTATGTCTGTGACTTGGAGCCCAATATTCCCACTGCCCAGGCCACTGCAATCCGAGGGAACGGGAGCAGAGGACTAGGGAGAAAGGTGGAATGAAAAAACGCCTTTTGGCACACTAATTAAGGCCACCTCGACCTTCTAGACACCCAACTAATTTTTCACCCCAAGATGGTCTTTCTTTGAAAGCAAAACAGTTCTCACCCACACCCCCCAGAAGGCTCCAGAAGCCTGGCAGTGGTGACAAGACCCTGTTAGAAAGGAAGAAGGAAAGTGCAGGGAATGGGGGAGACCAGACAGTCCAGGAGGCTGGCAAACGGGAGACCAGGCAAGAGGGACTGGAGCAGAGGAATGGGGTGAGGGGGCGGGAGGAGGGACCGTGGGAGGGAGTGATGGAGCCTCTCCCAGCTCTTCCTTCCCTCCCTCTGTCCCTCCCACTCTCTTTCATGATCTTGAAACAACCTTCAAGTCTGGGCTGGAGGCCCCAGGAGGCCAGTCACTTAGGAAACAAAACTGTTTCCTTTACAAGTCCATCTGCAGCTAAGCGCCCACCCTCCCCCTTGCACACTCTCCCATGGACTCTCACGTACACCCACAGTCCTGCACAGCCTTCCCTGTAGCACACGTGCATGCCTGCACACGAACATGTGCGCATCACACACTCCTGTGCAGATGACTAATGTGTAAAAGATGGGCCACCCATCCGAGCAAGCACTGCCCTGTCCTCATCAACTGACAAGTCTCTCTCATAGAGTCTGAGTTGACTTCTAAACCTTGCTGTGTAGTTTAGGGTAACCTTGAACTTCTGATCCTCCTGCCTCTACCTCCCAAGTACTGTGATTAGAGGCATGTTCTACAAGCCTCGGTTTAGGGTGTATTAGGGCTAGATCCCAGGGTTCTATGTTTGCTAGAAAGGTACTCTACTAACCGAGCCACCTGCCCAGACTGAAACTCCTTTGGAAGTAGCACTTGGTACATTCCTACCTACAGAATCTCACACCGAAGTGTCCCCTTTGGGCATAACTAGCACCCCGCCACTAGGCTAGTACATGTCCCTAGGTGTCTCTGTTCCCTACCCCTGCATACACATACTTACTTCTCAGACCTCTGCCAAGCAAACGCGCTCAGACCTTCTCTGTCTTCCATGCCCGGTGACCTCTTTCTAGTCTGTTTTCTCTCAAGACCACTCCTGCCTTCCTACCCCCTGTTTTCCCATCTTTCTGTATTCCTCCCTTGTTCCTTTCTTGACTCAAATGAGTCCCCCTGTCTGGCTCCACAGGTAGCCAACCCAGGCACAACAGGTCAGAGGGCCGGGGCGTCTACTCCCACGGTGGTGTTCCGGAGTCTGAAATAGACTCCCAGCGCCTCCACAGAGGGAGTGGCCGGGGAGGCAGGAGTGAGCAGCAGATGGCGGATGACCTGCCGAGCGTCAGTCACTTGTTGCAACCCACGTGTGTGAGCAGCCGTGTCCTTGGGGCTGTGGTCACCCTAACGCAGGGCATGGCAGGGAGCCCTAACAGTCTGTGCAAGCCGAGGAAGGGCACAGCCCTTTCCGTTATTGAGCCTGGCTACAGAGAGCAGGGCCAGGGCGTGGGAAGGACTGGGCAACACCGGAAAGTGCCCGCGGGGGTGGGAGGAGGGGGGTGAACACAGGAGCTCAGAGCCTCGTGTTTCTCTTCTGTCTCACCTTGTATCTTGAAGAAGCTAGGGAGATTACTCAGGAACTCTAGCCCAGGAGTATAGATGCCCCTTAACCCCAAGGGATCATCTATTCACCCCTAAACTCCACTACCCTTTGGATATGTCTTCTAGAGTCTTCTTCACTACGCTTCACAGCTTCAGTGGCTCTCTATGTCCTTGACACACAAGGACTACGTCCACTTCCTGTCACGATTTCCCAATCTCATCTATTCCAGACCCAAGTCCGAGGCCTGGAAGGGACCACAGACCATGAGAAAATCCATGCGTGCTTATCCTGCCCATCCTTCGTGCCTAGGCCCAGGGGGAAGCAGCAGGGGCAGGTAGGATCTGACCCTGGGATGCCTGTAATGGAAAAAAAATCTCAGCTGCAGATCCAGAGGGGGCCAGTTATTTAGGGAATTCAGATGTGAGCCCTGTGCCCTGAGAGTAGATTTCCTGGACAGGAGGTCTATAATCCCTCTGCAGGGTGCTCTCTCCAGGGCCGGAGGGGGCCCAACCCAGCCAGCCCAGCCAGCGGATACCTTAGGCCTCCGGCCAAAGCCCAGTTTCCCTCCCTCCTTCTTCCTTTCCCAATCAGGGTTCTCAGACCTGCCCCTGCTCAGCGGGTGTCCACTCACTCCATCTCTGGGCCTAAGGAAACGGGACACTGCAGGAGAACCTTGTCGTCCGACTGCTCCTGGCAGGTGGGGGCAGGAATTTTTCTTCTCTGTCCCCCACCCTTATTCTTTGGCTCTTCATCAAATGAAATACACCAGCACCCCCAGAGCAGCTGGCACTGTCATGGGTTATTGGCTCTGTCCCGGTTTCTATTGAGTATAATGTTGAAGACACCTTCCCAGCTGGAGGTGAAGCCCCCACCCCCAGCCCCAGGTCCAACTTTCAGGATCTCCCATGCCTCTTTACACAAGTCACTCTAGGTGGAGATGCCTGTATCTTTCCTCCCAGAAGGAACTCAAGGAAGTCATTGTTCTTTCTAGTTCATGGACTTGGTGTTTGAGGTGATAATGGCTTCCATGCTCTCCCCAGAAATGTCACACCTTCCGGCTTTGACTTCCTCCCATGCCATTCACCAGCCTCAGACTCGGACTCACCCAGAGCTCCTCTATAGCAATGAAGGAGAGGCTCTTCCACTCCACACACAAAACGGCCAGAGGTGCTACCGAGTGCCTGCTGTGCTTGGCTTAGGGTTGCCTTCTTGGTCCTTTTACATCCTCTGTCCTTCACCTTCCCGCCCGCCTCTAGGTGCTGAGAGTCTTGATTGTCCTAAACACTGGATGCAGGTGTGGCCAACTTTTAAATATCGTGATACAAAGTTGTCATTTACAACATTCACATCATCGATAAATCACACTGGAGAACTATGCAATCACGTTATCAAAAACAAATGACCACTATAAAGTACCTCATAACATTTGAAGTGAGTTCAGGCTGTTGTGTTGGGCCAAGTTCATAGCTATCTCAGGGTGCATGCAACCTAAGGGCAACAACTCAGACATGCCTGGCTCAGAGGTTACATCTGGGAGGCCTTAGGAGGACCCCTCCATCTCCAGACTGGTCCCTTGCAAGGAGCTTCAAATGCAAGAGTCATCTTGTGCTTTGGTTCTAACTTTTTCTTGGTCATGGTGTTCCTGCAGCTTCCACAGCAGAGAGATCAGGCTGTTGCTTTTTCTGGGAAACTGACTGTGGACTCAGGAGATTTGGGTTCTGTCTCATCCACTCAGATTGCTGAATTCTTACAGCCTCAGCTTCCTCACCTGGAAATACAGGCAGTTAAGTCTGCAAGATCTCTGGCATCCTAGGACCCCGAGCTGATGTCTCTCGAGGGGCCGGCATCTCTTCCTCCTGCTACTCCCTCCCTATCCCCTTCCCCTTGCTTCTGTCTCAGCCGTGGCTGCCCTGGGATGGGGAAGTGCCGAGGGGAGCTGGGGGGCGGGGGAAGGGGACACACCACCCGACAAAACAGGACCATCAGCCGGGGCCAGTCGCTAAAGAGGCGGGAGGGGAGGAGTCCTCGGGGATCCAGTTTCAACAAACGTTTCTTTCCCCGAGAAGGGGAAGGCGGGGGTGAGGGGGAGAGGGACCTATTTAAAGCTACCCTGTTGCTCTGGCCGTCTCTGTCTGTCTGCCAGGGTCTCCAGCTGCCCCAGACAGGCCGTGTGGTCTTGAGATCCTCCTGGTGACCTTTTCAGCCTAGGTCCCCCCCAGCCACTCTGCCCCAAGATGGGTCGTGGGGTGAGTATCCCCAAAGATCAGGGGCGACTCTCTGGAGGGTGAGGAAGACAATGGAGAAAGGGTGGAGTGGGGATGGGATGCGGAGGGAGGGTGAGAGACGCTGACTGAGTGGGATGGTTTGAACTTGGAACTGGTCTCCCAACTGCACATGCCTGTGGATTCCACAGGGCCAGCCCAAGCGCTGTCCCGTCCTGCAGCCGCCCTGGCCTCCTCCTCTCCCACAACTAGCCCAGAAGCCACCCAAGTGCCCGCCTAGATCTCCCTGCACTCCATCCCCTCATCTCTTCTGCCAAAATCTTCTCTCTCTCTCTCTCTCTCTCTCTCTCTCTCTCTCTCTCTCTCTCTCTCTCTCTCTCTCACCACACAGTTCCTGGCTTCCCAGCTGAAGAGATGTTTGGCATGGTTAGTTCTCTCCCACCCTTGTTACCCACTGAAAATATCTGCTCCTCTGAGGTCCTAGCCGGAGAGGATAGGGGGCCAGCCTGGGGTTGCAAAGCAGCTGCGGAACATCCCACTCCCAGAGTCACCAAGCAGTTTGCTACCCCACGCGCGCCAAGGGCCCTGCATGCCAGAGTCAGCTGGGAAGGAGAACAGGACTCTATCCCCAGCCCTCACCCCAGCACCCCTCCGGATGTCCCAGCAACACTGTCCTCGGCTCCCAGCCATAGGCTTTAGGGTCCTTTCCAAAGGCTGGTGAGAATGGTCCCTGCCCATGGCATCCTGCAGCAGCGGATTTGCCAATGAAAAGATTAACAGCCATGTCTGGGCGAGCAAGGACAAGGCTTCCAATTCTTGGAAATGAAATTCCCATATGAAGCAAAGTGACCCAGTCCCTTTACATACTGAGCTTGGCTGCTTTCCTTTTGTGGAATGCTGGCAGAAGAGGGCACGGTGGGAAAGGGTTTGACAAGCCATTGCAAAATGCGAGGAAGACAGTGCCATGGGGTGCTGAGGGCCAATTTCTGGGCCCAAGGAGGAGTCAGGCAAGGACATGTTATTGCACTAAGCTGAACAGCTGGAAAAACTCTGAGCCTGGACACCAGGGTTCCAGAGTTAGAGTGGGAACTGAAAATAGAAGAGTCCCATGCATGCATGTATACGTGTGTGTCTGTCTGTCTGCCTATGTCTGTGTGTGTGTGAACATGTGTATATATGCCCACAACCTCACACCCCTGTGTGTCCCGAGGAAGCTGGTAGTGCTGCAGGCATTCATGAGTGAACCTGCACCATGTTTCTGCAGGTGAATTGGCAAATGAACAGCCTTTGGGCATTCAGGGCACAGGTGGTGGGTGGGGGTGAGTGCCCTGAGCCCACCCTTAGGAGCTGTCTATGGTCCATGGGTTTCCCTGAGGCAGTGATCATAGTCATAGGAAGACATATTGTCCTGGGACCTTCAGCAATATCTTGGTATCTCCTGTTCCCCCGTAGAAAGGGAAGATCCAGCTGAGGTGCAGAAATTCTGAGAGGCCAGGGCCAACCCTAACGTCTAAGAGAAAAGAGAGGATGCCCCCCAACCCCGTTCTACCTTAGAGCAAGGTGGACCTAGCTCACAGAGTTCTTTCTACTTGAGATGCAATTTGACCTTGAATTCTCCATTCTGAACTGCCCCCTCCCCGCGCCCTACCCCTACCCCCGGCGTCCAGCACCCTTGCTGGGTTCATAACTTGTGGTACCCCTAACCTAGTGGCTGTGAGTGATGCTACTAGTGGTCTGGTTTTGTTTGGTTTGAAAAGCTGGGTTAAGTCTGGGACCTTAAGGTTGGGTGCTCAGAGTCCTACCTATCAGGAAAGCCCTGCGGAAAACAAGGTCCCATTCTCCACACTCAACTCTGTGGTCTGCTTCACCGCCACTCCAGCCCATCACTACGCTGCTGTGAAGGGCAGCGTGGGAGTTGAGGGAAGAAGTCACACTGGTGGGAGGGAGCCAAGCCTCCTCCAGAGGCGGGGGTGGGGGTGGGGGGAGCGTTGGCTGACTTCCAGCTACCCCCACTCTGTCCCAGACTCTGGCTTTCTCAGAAAGAACTCTCTGTTCTCCTTCAGCATTCAAGACCCAAAGAGAGGGACTTGTGCTAGGGGAGGGAGGGAAGAGCAGGGGGGGGGGGAAGCGGGGGTCCCCGCTTCCTCTTTCTTTCTTCCCTGGGCAGCCACTGGCCCCAAATCTCCACAGGCTCCTGGCTGTGGAGCCTAAGATCCTTGCCAGGACAGGAGGAGGGGGAAGGGCAGTGTGTCCCAAGCTTCACACTTATGGGAGGACGGGGTGGGAGCCGGGAAAAGAAGGCACCACATGGAGCTGTTTAGCTCAGCCACAGTTCAACATACCAACATACAAGAGCTAGCACATTTTTCCCCCCAGAAACACGCATTTGTTTATTTATTTGAGATAGGATTTCACTATGTAGCCCAGGCTGGACTCAAACTTCCAATCCTCCTGCCTCCACCTCCTGAATTGTGGGAATCCAGATGTGCACCCCACCACCTCCGGCTTCAGAAGGGGCCGTTTGATTCTCATTTTCACGTCTTTTATTTTAAACCAAATGTGCAGAGATTTCTCTGGGCTCTGCTCCTCAGCCCCTAGCACAAGCCTCTCCTGGAGGCTCCCACCCCTGAAGGCCCCAAAGATCACACTGACAGCGGTCCAGATTGCTTCCATTCATTCAGTCCCTTTGTGGTTTCCCATCCTTTACTCAGCCCTGCCTCACCAAAGAGGCCAAAGCATTTCACTTCTCCCAATTAAATGAAGCCTCTTATATCACCTGGGAAAGTGAGAGGCAGAAGTATTTCTGAGTCCTTCTCTACCCTTCCGATGGCCACTTCAGTCTCCCCAGGATGCTTGGCCTCCAGAAGATCTAGACCAGACTGGATTCATAGGTATTTCAGATAGCAAAGAGAGCATGATGTATTGATCACCTTTTCTAAACGGACCATGTCTGAGCAACACAGCCTCCAAGAGCACACCTCCTTCTAGGTCATTGAATCCTGAAACAAGTGCCCATCATCTTGCATTGTACGTCCATCCCCTTCTTTGCTCCTGATGTCACTGGGCAGAATTCTATTACCCAGGGTGCTAAGTTTACGATTTCTTATGATCACGGCAGCTGTCCTATTCCCCAGGATCGCTCTAACGCTGATGGGTAAAAATACGTTAATCCTGGAGCACTGAGGACTTAGGGTAGCACAGCCACATGCTAGAGAAACAGGAGGTTCACACTGATATACATCTGCCTAAATCCATAAGACACACACTGCCAGTGTGTCAGCTGGAAGGTAGTGATGAAACAGTGTACCCCTCCAACAATGTGGGATGCTGATGAGGAGGGAGGCTGTAGTGATGAAACAATGTACCTCTCCAACAATGTGGGATGCTGATGAGGAGCTGGACTGTAGTGATGAAACAGTGTACCCCTCCAACAATGTGGGATGCTGATGAGGACCTGGCCTCTAGTGATGCAACAATGTACCCCTCCAACAATATGGGATGCTGATGAGGAGCTGGGCTGTAGTGATGAAACAATGTACCCCCTCCAACAACGTGGGATGCTGATGGGGAGGGAGGCTGTCCATTTGTAGGGACAGAAGATTTGTAAGCACTTCCTCTACTTTGCACTAACCTTTGCAGTCAACTCAAACGTTGCTTTAAAAAAAAAAAACTATTAAAAATGAACCCCACCCCCCAAATACATAATCTTGAAAAACAAAACAAAACAAAAAACCACACAGATTATTGCTTCTACCAGGTGCCCCATTCTTTATGGAAAACACCAGTCATAACCATGGCATGGAAAAATCCACTTCTAAAAGCTCAGTGTAGCCTTCAGGGTCCATAAAAAAGCCAGAGGGACGAGCAGAAACTTAGCTAACCCCTGTATCCTGAGGGACATGGAAAGCCATGGAGGGAGATGACAGTATTTTTCACAGTATTCATAACTCCCAGGCCTTTCCCAGCCCCCAACTAGCCCATTCCTCCAAGGCTGCCTCCATTTGAATGAAGAATCGCTACCATCTCCCTCAAGAAGCTCCTATGAGACCCCGAAAGCCTGTAGTAGCCCTGAAGAGAAGGGCAAATGGGGAACTCACAAGGATCACTATTAAAAACACCCAGCTGACCTGGACAGAAGCCAAAGACTGACCCTGACTTACATGACTTCAGTTCTCTATTTACTCTCATATACATGTCTTGGCAAAGGGAACCCAGTTGTGCTCTTGGGATTTCAAGCTCTGTGAGTTGCCTCTGTCCAGTCCCAGGTAAGCCTGTCCAGCAGGCTGGCGTGGGCTCCCAGCATACCCTGGGCTCCCCTTTTATAGACATACTTGAACCTGCCACCATTAGCTTCTCTCAGTCCCTCATCCCTGCCCATCCCATGCCCACCACCTTCTCTCTGCTTCCCAGGACTCTTACTCTACCCAGCACTCCTCTCTAAACTAGGTGAAGACATTCCTACAGGATACCCCTACCCATCAACACAATCCCTCTCCACTCCCAGAATTCTCTCGAATAACATAGGATGGTATTTTTCAAAATGTGTATGTGTTTTGTTTTTTATTATCTGGCAGAATCCCATATCACACAGTAAACAGATACAAGTTCAAATATGGGGGTCCTCACAGCTCTGCCTGGGCGCTCCCACCTCCTGCTCCCATTCTCCCCCAGCACCCTGCTTCCAATGCTGGGACATTCTCCATGGGTGATGGGAACAGGCTCCGGCCAGTCTCCCTGATCATCTGTGCCCTCCCTTCCCTTTGCAGGCAGGGCGTGAGTACTCGCCTGCCGCCACCACCGCGGAGAATGGGGGTGGCAAGAAGAAACAGAAAGAGAAGGAGCTCGATGAGCTGAAGAAGGAGGTTGCCATGGTAAGGACCACGGTGCTTTCAGCAAGGCCATGGACGGGCAGCTCTGCTCTGACTGTCACGCACCAGTAACCACGGGCATCCAAAAAAAAAAAAAAAAAAAGCTTTGCACACAGGCCCATGCTCCTCACTTAATCCTGTGCCCCCAATGTGTGCTCAGCCTCCTTTCCCAAAGTGTCTCCATTTCCCCTTCCCCAGGATGACCACAAGCTATCCCTGGATGAGCTGGGCCGAAAATACCAAGTGGATCTGTCCAAGGTGAGTGGAGCCATGAGGGGAGAGAGGCAGGCAGCTTCAGGTGGGAGAGCCTCCACACTAGAACACAATGCTCTTTGCAGGTGAGGGAAACGGCCCAGAGATGAGAGACTTACCTAACGCCATGGGCTTAGTTGGTGGCACAGTCAGAAATAGACTTTGGACCCCTGCTTCCCTCTCTTTCCCCATGTATCTGGAAGCTAGAATTCCTTTAGAACCCAGGGCTCAGATCCTGGCGAGGCTCTGTGCTCAGCCTCAAGCAACTGCTCTCAGAGAGGATGGACATGGACCAGCAAGGTGACTCATCCTTGTTATGATAGTACTTGCTGGCTCCCGCTACATCCGTGCCTCTGTAATAAGATGCAGTGTGGACATTTCTTTAATCCTCGCCCTAGCTCTGTCAGGCATTGTCAGCCTGTTTATTAAAGCAAGGAGAATCAGAAAGGGAGAATTACTTGCTGAATTTGTACCCAGGCCCAGGCTCCTCACTTAATCCTGTGCCCCGAAGTGTGCTCAGCCTCCTTTCCCCCTTCCCCAGGATGACCACGACCTGTCCTTGGATGAGCTAGGTTAGTTATATAAATCAACGCAGGCCACAGTCAGCTTGCCAAGCCCATCATTTTAAAATATTTTAAATTGTTCCTCAAAGCTAGGTGCACTGGCACACACCTGTAACCCCGGCTACTTAGGAGGCTGAGGCAGGGAAGATTGCAAGTTCAAGGCTAGCGTGGACAACTTAGAGTCGCTGTCACACAATCAAATCAAGAAAAGGCTGTGCATGTAGTTCAATGACAGAGTGCTGTGCAGCTTGTGTGGTGCCCTAAATTCAATCCTTAGTTTAAAAAAAAAAATTCCAAGCGCTATGGTGGTCAACTGTAGTCCTAGGCACTTAGTAGAAAAAAGACTTGGGCCCAAAGTTCAAGACCATCCTAGACAAAATATTGAAATCTTGGCTCAGACAAGTGAAAACACTATAAAGTCAGCCACAAGTTCAAGGCCAGCTGGGGCTATAAAGTAACTTCCATGCTGTAAGAATAACTTACCTTAAAAGAAAAAGGGGGGGGGCGGTAGTGGCGCACGTCTTTAATCCCAGCACTCGGAAGGCAGAGCCAGGCGGATCTCTGTGAATTCGAGGCTAGCCTGGGCTACAGAGTAAGTTCCAGGAAAGGCGCAAAGCTACACAGAGAAATCCTGTCTCAAAAAAAAAAAAAAAAAGGTAAAAACTTTATTGTGACAATACCCCTGGCCCACTCCTTTCTGTCTCTGTTCCTAAACTGCTATGCTCCCATTCGTTGACGCTACTTTATTTTCTACTCTCCAGCATCCATGTGTATTTATTATTGTGTAGGTTTCCTCCCTAGATTGTGGGTGGGGCTTTGTGGATCTTGCCTGTCTCTCCATCCTTCCCAGTGCTGGGCATGCAGTCGGAGCTCAACATTCATGTATAAAGCAGGTGAATAAATGACATGATGATCAGTAACAAGTGGTTCCTGCTCAAAGTCAGTAGCAAAAAAATTGAAAACAAAAACCATCCAAGCAGAATTCCAGTGCAGGATAGTAAGCACTACTCTAGAATCGAGCATGGGGGGCCGCTAACCGGATCCAGAAAGAGGCCTTTGGTCTAGTCTGGGTGCCTAAAGAATAGCGCGTTTGGCTAGGTTTTCTTTAGAAAGTGATAGGTGGTTGCCAAAATCACATGGCACTAGGGGTCAAAGCAGTGGGGCTTTTCCCTGGAGCCCTGGAGAAAGGAAGGACCTGCAGGAAGAGACGAGGGTGGTCAGAAAAAGAATCTTTCCGGTGTGCTTATGCACGTGGTCCCAACAAAAACATGTTTCAACCCAAGAATAACGGAAGGTGGAGCCATAGGGAGAGTCCTTTCTAGCCTTCAAGGCACAAGTCCCATTTATAGACATCAGTATCTCTGTGTGGTCCCTCCTGATGTTCCCACCCCTCCCAACCAAAGGAGGGTTTTGTTTTTTTATTTTTTATTTTTTTATCCAACTGGGCATTATTCTCCAAGATGCTGAGAGATGTGGTGAGGGTCAGGTTTGTTCCGTACACCCACTTCTACACCTTCTCTCACTCCCCAGGGCCTCACTAACCAGCGAGCTCAGGACATCCTGGCTCGGGATGGACCCAACGCCCTCACGCCACCCCCCACAACTCCTGAGTGGGTCAAGTTCTGTCGTCAGCTTTTTGGGGGCTTCTCTATCCTTCTGTGGATTGGGGCCCTCCTCTGCTTCCTAGCCTATGGTATCCTGGCCGCCATGGAGGACGAACCATCCAACGATAATGTGAGCCACGCCCCCAACCCTTGGACCAGCCAGCCCATGACTCTGCCCTCCAACTCTCAACCCCAAAGAAGGTGAAGGGGGTGGGTACTCAGGGAACGAGATCACAGTCCCTCAGGCTGAAGAGGGGTGAGGCTTCTGTACATACCTGTGGAGCACCCTCCAGCACATGCAGTCAGTGATGAATGAGAGGTCCTCCATGCTCATTCCACCAAAAGGGGCTGGTCTGTATGCCATGGGAACTCATTTCTTTGCTCCTTCCATGCTAGGAGTATGGGTTAGAGAAGACTGGGGGAGGCTGAAGAGGGGGAAGACTCACTGTCATTCTCATGCCTGGGCTCAGATGAAGGCTGGGGATCCCGCATAGGATGACTCTGAGTGCTCATCCCAAGTGACAGCCACCCTCACGGTGAGAAATGGCAGGTCCTTCAAACCCTTTCTCCTTACCAGTTATACCTAGGTATCGTGCTAGCAGCTGTGGTCATCGTCACTGGCTGCTTCTCCTACTACCAGGAAGCCAAGAGCTCCAAGATCATGGACTCCTTCAAGAACATGGTGCCTCAGGTAGATGGCAGGGACTGGCCGCCGTCTAACTTGGGGCCTAAGATTTCCGAGATGGCTCACCTCTTACCGTCTTGTGGTCTGAGGTGAAAGAAAGATGGGCAGGAAAACACCCTTTTCAGCCCTCCACACCAGAACCAAGTCTTGTTGTTGAAGGTGTGGGGGTTTCTTCTCCTCCTTTGGAGAGAGAACAAATTGTAAGCAAAGGTGGAAACAGACATTTCATGAGGTACTCTTGGCCTTTCCACAGCAAGCCCTGGTCATCCGAGAGGGAGAGAAGATGCAGATCAATGCGGAGGAGGTGGTGGTAGGAGACCTGGTAGAAGTGAAGGGTGGAGACCGTGTCCCTGCTGACCTCCGGATCATCTCTTCCCATGGCTGCAAGGTGAGGGGGTCGCCAAGAGCGACTAGTCAGCTGGGTCTGTACAGAGTCAAGAGAGGCCCTCTTGGAAGTTTAAAAGAAACCCAGTCGCAAACGTCAAGGTCTCCCCTGTACCTCCCAGCTAAACCTCCTTCTAGTATATGATGGCTACATGCTGCCTCTGTGTATCTGTGTTAGGAATGCTCTATGCCCTGGGATTTCGTTGATCTAGCTGCTTTATAGCCATTATGTATGGAATATCATTTATTGAACAGAAGCCGTACCTATTATCCAATTTAACTCTGAAAGATTCCAGACCAGCCTGGGCTACAGAGAGCCCCCAAATAATAAATAAACAAACAAACAAACAAACAAACAAACAAACAAATAAATAAATAAATAGATAGATAGATAGATAGATAGATAGATAGAATTTTAAGGAAATAAAGACTAAAGAGCTGCGTCTTCACACCTATATTAGCACTCTCCAGGTAGAGGATAGAAGCAGGAAGATGGAGAGTTCAAAGTCAGCCCAACCTGGCTACATAGAGAGGCGTCTGGAAAAAGATGATGTAATTATGAAGGCTGCTGTATGTTGCAGCCCGATCAGCCCCAGGAGGCAGCATTTTCATAGACTGCCTTGGTGGTGGTGCTTCTGGAGTTGTGCAATGCAGTGATCTTGTTTACATTCCCCGCTTCACAGGTGAACAAATGAAGGTCTTGTGGGTTAAATAAACAACCCAAAGACACATAAAAGTCAGGAAGAGTCAGTCATCCAAACCAAAGCAGGAGCGATAGCTGAGTAATGCCATAAGTATGTGATGAGGGCAAGCGTAATTTTGTTCCTCTTGTCCTGAAGATTGAGGGGGGTTGGATCTGGCTCAGGAGACCGCTGTGTGCACACAGTACCACTGCCCCTGCCAGTTGGATGACTACACTCCTTTCTCCTCAGGTGGACAACTCATCCCTAACAGGGGAGTCGGAGCCCCAGACCCGTTCCCCTGAGTTCACCCATGAGAACCCACTGGAAACCCGCAATATCTGTTTCTTCTCTACCAACTGTGTGGAAGGTGAGACGTTTGCCTCCCAAGGACGCTCCTCATCCCAGCACAGTGTAGGGAAGGGTCGGACTCCTGAAGCTGTACTTATTTGGCAAAAGCTCTGCATATAAAGGGCATTGAGGGAACAGGGCCCCGAACGTTACAGAAACAGTCATCTCTGGAGAGCAGGACATGGGCCAAGGGCAGACTGACTCTATTGGAAGTCACCTCTCCCCAAGAAGCTCTCTGTTCTGCCCATCCCCAGACTGAAAGCCTTCCACAAAACTTTCAGATGGTGGGTCAAGATGCAACCCCTCCCCCTAATCACACACACACAGCCTTGATTCTTAGGAGTGTGGGGAGTCAGGTGATGTCTTCTAAGTCTGTGATCCTGGACCAGTTGCTTCCTTCCTCGGCTCTTCACTAGAAACCAGAGGCTCAATCTGGGTCAGGAAAACTTTCTGGTGAAAATCAGGTTCTCCCTCAGGCCATGATGAGAAGGAAATTCTCATAATGTGCAGCCTGCCCTGCCTTGCCTTTTCCATCTCGGCTCTGGGTTCTAGTGATGAACACCGGGGGCGAAGGGGAGCTCTGGGAGCTGTTATCACATGAGAATGGGGTCTAAGCACAACTGTAACCCTCCAGGCAGGGATCTCAGTCAGGACTGACTCCGGGAAGGAATCTGGAGGCAGGAGATGGCAGGAGAGGCTTCCTAGACCATAGACCTCTCAGACGGTGACAAAGAATGCCTTCTCGCATCCCAAATCCATGCCTTTCCTTCCCGGATACTCTTTCTCTTCCATATATTGGTTCTTTGGGCTTGGTTCCCTCCTTCAGAGAATTGGAATTACAATAAAAAAAAAATCACTACACATTAAATTTCCTAAATTTTTAATGTACTGAGAGTCTGATTTATCATACATTTCCCATAACTGAATGTATTTGAAAGGTCAGATAAGGTGTTCTTATCGCTTACTCAGCAACTAGCTCGGAAGAGAGGGAGGGGATGAATGGAAGTCACCTTTGTTGCATGGCTGCTACGTGACAGGCACTAGTCAAAGTACTTCACACAGTTATCCCATTCGACCACTGAGTCCTAGGTGAGAGTGCAAACCGGCATTCAACCCTAGATGGCTGACTTCAGCATGCATCCCCTTCCCACCGTACCACACTTCCTTCCCAAAGACCCCTGTAACATCACACATGGTGAATGACTACTGGACTTCCTGTATAGAGAGATTCATACCTAACATTGGGATCTTTTTTTAATTAAAAAAATCTTTTATAATGATTAGTGTAGGGGGTGTGGGGGGTGTGTATAAGTGAGCACACTCATGTCACAGCACACATGTGGAAAGACTTGCAGGACTTGGTTCTCTCCTTCCGCCATGTGGACTCCAGAGACCCAGCTCAGGTCATCAGGATTAGTGGGTACTGCCCTCCTCACACACTGAACTATCTTGCTGGACCAAGAAAATCTTAAGTCCCCACAAAAAAAAATCAATAAGTATTTTACTTCTGTTTATAATATGCTTTTGAAAGATGTCTAGTAGAAGATTGATTTGCCGAAACGTTGCAGGCAATTTATATTTCATTTATCGAATCTCTTCCATTTGAACTTTAGTATTACTTGCAAGATGTCTTCTCAGGCCCAAATATAAAAGAAAATAATTTGTGGCTGTATTAAATCTGAGATTGGTGATCTATGCAAGGAGGTAAGCCCAGCTTACTAAAAAGAGCCTCTGGGGTTAGAGTCTTCGGCTTATTTACTCTGTGATGGTTTTTATCTCCTTAGCAAATATGGTGAGATTTCAGCCATCGGCAAGCCCAGGGCACTTATTCTCTGTTCCTTTCCTCTGTGGTAGGCACTGCCAGGGGCATCGTGATTGCCACAGGTGACCGGACAGTGATGGGCCGCATAGCCACTCTCGCCTCTGGCCTAGAGGTCGGGCAGACACCCATAGCCATGGAGATCGAGCACTTCATCCAGCTGATCACAGGAGTGGCAGTGTTCCTGGGGGTCTCTTTCTTTGTGCTGTCCCTGATCCTGGGCTACAGCTGGCTGGAGGCGGTCATCTTCCTCATCGGCATCATCGTAGCCAACGTGCCTGAAGGGCTTCTGGCCACTGTTACTGTGAGTGGATCAGGCTGAACTGCCCCCAGTGCCACTGTCCTTGTCCTTCTTCCCGTTTGAGACAAACACAGACACTTATTGCTTTTCAGCCATGTTCTTCCCTTCGAGTCCCTGCGGCCACATCTCAGACACCGTACACAGAAACTGTTTAATGTGTGCCTTGGAGTTTTCAGTTGAGAAATCTTGGGTTGAGCTGTATCTGAGCATTCGATTTCTCTTTGGGGGCTTGTCGTGGCCATGTTTCTCACCATCTGTGTGCTTGTCTCCCGATGCAGTCTGGGCTTCATCCTGTCTGGCTTGCTATAAAGTCTCTTTCAAAGGTCACCGGTGACTAACTAGCAAATCAAATGACACGTCTCAGCTCCCATCCTTAACTCTGCTCTGAAATGGATACTTCTGCCCACCCTCTGGCACTGTGTCCTTCATCAGCTACTGTGGTGTGCCACCATCCTGGTTCTCTTGTCCCGTGTCCTCACAGAAACTCAGTGGCTGTCAAGCCCCAGGCTCTGCTTTCCTCTTGGTTGCCCTCGAGGGGATCCATTTTCTCCCACAGTTTCTGTTGTCCCTTCTGTGTGGGTGGCTCTCACATCTTTGTGCCAGCTCTGGAGTCGGATATGTTCAACTCTCTGCTGGGCATTTACCACAAGTACACCTAGGGACCCGTTCAACGTACCTGAAGTTGAACTGTCGCTGTTTACTGCTAGGTCCCACCCAATCTGGTTTGTGAGTAGGATTAAGGAAAAAGGAATAGAGCTTCAGGATAGGAAGAGGTCATGGACACCCGTCACTCTAGACTCAGACCTCGTTATTCTCTTCTTTGTGTACCAGGTGTGCCTGACACTGACAGCCAAGCGCATGGCTCGGAAGAACTGCCTGGTGAAGAACCTGGAGGCGGTGGAGACGCTGGGCTCCACCTCCACCATCTGCTCGGACAAGACGGGCACCCTCACCCAGAACCGCATGACCGTGGCCCACATGTGGTTTGACAACCAGATCCACGAGGCTGACACCACTGAGGATCAGTCTGGTGATTGGGTGCTCCAGAAAGGGTGAAGGGAAGTGGCTAGGGCTGAGGGCCCCGGCAGAGGAGGGAGACTAGGGTGTGCAAACGCTCTAACAGGGAGCCATGCTTCTCCCTTGTTTCTTCCAGGGGCCACTTTTGACAAACGGTCCCCGACGTGGACAGCCCTGTCTCGGATTGCTGGTCTCTGCAATCGTGCTGTATTCAAAGCTGGGCAGGAGAACATCTCTGTGTCTAAGGTAAGGGGGTCAGCCAGTGAGTGCAATGTCTTCAAGGGGAATGTCTTCAAGGTCCCCTTGCTGATGCCCAGCTTTCCCTCACATCCTGTAGCTGCCTTTGGTGACCTCAGCTGATGCCCTGTCTCTCCCATCCTCCACTCCCTTCCCTCCCCCACGGTGACACTGGATTCTATTTTCTTCTGGCAGCGGGACACAGCTGGTGATGCCTCTGAGTCAGCTCTGCTCAAGTGCATTGAGTTGTCCTGTGGCTCAGTGAGGAAGATGAGGGACAGGAACCCTAAGGTGGCAGAAATTCCCTTCAACTCTACCAACAAATATCAGGTCTGGCTGGGCTGCTGGAACAGAGAGAGAAAAAGGGTCAAAGATGGGGAGAGTGAGTGAACAGAGACTCAATAGAAGAAAGTGAGCCAGCAGAGACTCAGGAGAAAGAAGGGACGGGGATGTCTGAGGACTGTGTGCTCCTCTCCTGCCTCACTCCAGGGATAAACGTCCTAGCTGCATGTGTCACCATCCTCTGACTGGCAAACCTTACTACATGCAATCTCTCTTCTTCCAATAGCCCCTCCCCGCACTCACCGGCAATGGTCCTCCAACACTGCCATCCATATAATAAAACACACTTCCATAATTCCCTTACTGGATCCCTCAGTATTTAGGCGCCTGTTAATGCCAAGAGTAGTCTCAGCTCTACTCTGCATGCACCATGGAGGTAAAGTCTGTGGGTCATCCAGGAATGGGGGTAGGGGATGCTAGTGAAAGCCATCCAACCCGTAGCAGGATGTCTGTCCTAACTGATCTCAATAACTATTTGCTGAGTGAATCACTGTTCTATGGAAGTGACTCTCAGATTTTAAGACTTGGGACTATAAGCAAACACCCTCCACGCACAGTTTCTCCTTTGTTGACACTCTCTGACGGATTAGATTATGTTATTAAGGAAGGGTTCCTTCTCGGAAGCTGCTCCCTATCGGACCCCGCGCTAAGTCACCAAGATAGTATGTCTCCCTCTGTGATGGCCTGTCTCCTCTCCAGCTGTCCATCCATGAGAGAGAAGACAGCCCCCAGAGCCATGTGCTGGTGATGAAAGGGGCCCCGGAGCGCATCCTGGACCGATGCTCTACCATCCTAGTGCAGGGCAAGGAGATCCCTCTTGACAAGGAGATGCAAGATGCCTTTCAAAACGCCTACATGGAACTGGGAGGACTCGGGGAGCGCGTGCTCGGTGAGGAGGCAGAAACGGGAGCAGGGCTGAGAAGGGGGTTCCTGAGCCTTGGTAGTGTCTCTAGCCCTGAGAGGCCCCGGGGGCAAGCAGGCAGTCATGCTGCCCCTCTCACGCCTCCTTCCGGCTCCTCCTCAGGCTTCTGTCAGCTCAACCTGCCTTCTGGAAAGTTTCCTCGGGGCTTCAAATTTGACACGGATGAGCTGAACTTTCCCACAGAGAAGCTCTGTTTTGTGGGGCTCATGTCCATGATTGATCCGCCCAGGGCAGCTGTGCCAGATGCTGTGGGCAAGTGCCGCAGCGCGGGCATCAAGGTACTGGCCTCCTTTCCACCCCCACCCCACCCCGACCCCGTCCTTGTACGCCTGACCACCTGCCAGAGTCAAGGGGCTGCAGCAGCTGCTGTCCCGAGGAGACATAGGCTCCTGGCGGCCTCCTTCCCACCGACACAGAGAAGCTGTCCATCTGCAGGGAAAGGGGTATGCTTGACGAGAGCTCTTGCTGCTTCCTTTTGCTCACGCCTATCCTGTAGCCCAGCTCAGTGCCCCACCTGCATGGGCATCCTCCCTTCTCAATCTAAGCACCAGCTGGCACTCCCATCATGGATGCTTGGTTATCTGACTGCCCAACTGCTCGGTCTGCCCATTTGGAATGGGGATAGAAAGGTCTCGTCTGCCCCAATGGGCCCACCTTATCCCTCCATATTCTCTTCACTCGCCCACGACTCCCCACCAAGATCTTGTCCAACCACAACCAGTTCCCACTGAATACTCTCTCTTATTTGTTTGGCTTGTTCTTCATCCAGCAAATCTTTATTGCTTACCAACTGTGCGTCGGGCACTGTGTGAGGTGCCAAGTTATTTAATAAACCAACCAACCATCCAGGAACTCAGTTCCCTATTTCCAAGACATCCTCGTTTTCTGGTCACCACTTCTGGTGCCATCCCTTGCTCTTCTATTTTTTGAACAGTGCAACTTAACCTGCTCCCTGAGAGCCAAGTCTTTGTAGTCCACTGGGGATACAAAGATGAATAGAAATGGGGCCTGGCCTCCACATCTCAAGATCTCTCAGGGGGGCAGATGCTTCTAAGCACATCATGGAATAGTCATAAGAGTTGAGGTCATTGAGTACCTATTGGCCAGATGCCCTATGGTAAGTTATTTTAATGTTTTGCATGCATCAGATACTACTCTAAGCATTAAGCATGACAGCCTTCTGGGTAAGCACAAGGATCTCCCCTGTTACAGAGAGAGAAACTGAGGTACAAAGTAGCAAGCCCAAGACCATATGCTTATAAGTTGTGAAGTCAGAATTCGAAACAAGGCATTCTGTTTCTTAACCACCACATTAGAAGACTGGGTGCTGTGTATGTGTGTCAGTTTTGACTGTAATAACCACTCAGAATGGAAAACAGGCATCATTACCCCCACGGTAATACACAAACACATAGAAACCCAGAGCAGGTAAACAGTTTCCCCAAAATAGAACTGTTGGTAAGAGGTGAACTGGGAATACGAAGCACAGTTGGCTTGTCTGGAAGCCACGCTCCTTCTCTCTGCCCAGTCAGGTGCCTCTCGGCATGATGAGACATAGCACAGAGGCTGGGTAAGGACTCTATGGAAAATTAACTGGGAGCTGTTAATTCTGCCTCTGAGAACTAGTCAGGGTTTAACCGAAAGGATGATATTTGACCTGGGCCTTGAAGGCTGAAGAGGATTCAGTAGGCTATAAAGGAAGAGGAGGCATGGCAAGATCAGGGAACAGTGCGTACTGTACATGCCTACACTATCAGGAGGTGGAGGTATAAAGGTCACCAGGGGAGAGACCATGAGAGAGCACTGGGAATTGGGGCTGAAACCTTGGGTCAAGGCCAGTTGGAAGGATTTCCTTTAAATGCCAGACTTGAGCATTATCTTGTGTGACACAGAAGGCCACAAATGTCACAGATACAGCTTTCAGGCTACCTAATGGAGGAGGGACTAGACTTGGGGAAAAGACAAAGTCGGGAACAGGGAGACAGATTGAAAGGTGCACAATAGTCCAAGCAAGGGATGGGGATCTGAACAAGGCAGAGACAAAGGGAGTGAAGACACATAGTTGCATTTAAGAAGCATTTTGAGAACTTGGTGAGCTAGCTGGGCTCCGGGTGGGAAGATACAAGCGAGAACAAGACAGAGTAAACAGAGCAGATGGTATCTAAGAGAGGGAGCGGAGCTGAGGGGGTGCGGGGAGTACAAATAGCATGGACCTTAAGTTTAGAGCATCTGTAAGAAAGAGAGAGAGAGAGAGAGAGAGAGAGAGAGAGAGAGAGAGAGAGAGAGAGAGAGAGAGAGAGAGAGAGAGAGAGACGTACACATCTAGGGACAGTTGGAATATAGTTTAGAGTTCATGAAAATGGTCAGGACTGGAGATTTAAATCTCGTTAGCACATGAGTACAAACTGAAGCCTTACCAGAATATTTTACTATATCATTCAGGAAGCAGACAGGAGTCAAGGAAAAGGTGAAGAATGAACACTAAGTTCCCCAACATTTCTGGGGGAGTGGAGAAAAAGAAGCCCGTGGGAGTGGGTAGGACATGGCTAACATTTATTGAGTGTCTCCATAATGCCAGCCTGGAATGATGTGGAGCACCCCCTCCATTGTGCCGAAATAGAAAATTGCCTTGTCTAAGGTCCAACAGCTGGTGAAGGTCAGTGTTTAAGCTTAGGTTCCTGTCCAAAGCCAGCACGGACTCCACTCTGCTAGGCTCCATTCTGCCACCCTGAGGAAGCTTGAAAGAACATGCATCAGTGTCGGGGTTCAACCGGGGCAGAAATAAAGGGGGTGCAGACGCCAAGGGAGTGAAAGGTTTCAGTACCTTAGAGAGTCAAGGACAGCGAGGCTTGCAGAGACACTTGTTTTTCTAGGTGGCACTTTGGGGGTAGTTTCAGGTTAATAATGGGGTGGGAGAGAAGGCAGGAGGACCTGAAGGGGTGCATTGCCTCTCAGATCTATGGGACTTCTTCTACAAGCCCACAGATGCAAATCTGCCCTCAGCCAGCTTTGATCACTTTATGCTGATAATAGCCTCTTCCCAGGCCTACTTCCTTCTCATCTCACTCCATCTATTCTGCAGCAGTAAAGAACATTAATTATCCCAGCAAAGGCAAGAAGTTCCTTCTCCCCGTACCATTCAGGGCTGTTGGAAGTCGATGAACATGACCCCAGCTAGATATTGACTCCATCTTAGCCCGACTCTATCCAACTGCACTGCGGCAGTGATCACTTGAGACACTGGGAAAATCAAACCTTTGTTCAGGGTCCCCGTGACCTTGAAGAAGTTGTGAGTCTCACAAAACTTTGATCTCCTTACTGTATTCAAAGGGAGCTGTTAAAGTTTGGAGAGGTGGCTCAGCAGTTAAGAGCACTCACTGGCTGTTCTTTCAGAGGAGTCACATGGCAGCCCACAACCATTCAGGGTATTAGATGTTCTCTTCTGGTCTCCAAGGGCGCCAGACACATATGTGGTACACAGACATAAAGACAGACAAAACACCCATACACATAAAATAATAAAAGGAGGATAAAGAGGAGGAATTGTTAAAGGAAGTACCCATCCAGCTCTGTCTGCCTCATTTCCTACATACCCAAACTCCTAAAGAAATTTCCCAGACAATCCGGACATGGTCATATATGCCCATAATCCCAGCACCTGACAGGCACAGGCAAGAGAATCCTGTGAGTTTGAGGTCAGCTTGGGCTACATACTTCAAGATCTTGTCCCAGAGAGGGTGGAGGGGATACACACACACACACACACACACACACACACACACACACACAGAGAGAGAGACAGAGACAGATGGAGAAAGAGGAACAGAGAGAGAGACAGAGAGATGGGGGTTAGGAAGAACACACACTCTCCTCTGTCAAGGGACCCTCATTAACCTGTCAACCTGCTGTGGATGTTTTTGGCTGTTTAAATAGACTCTCTCTGATCCTCTTAACCCTGAACCCAACACAGTTTGTCACTGTTTTTTACCCTTATCACGACACACACACACACACACACACACACACACACACACACACACACACACACACACTCACACACACACCCCTCTACTCTTCCGGCTGGAATTCACCAACCTCAGTCTAACTTTATATGATTGGGGGAAAGGAATGGGGGTTGGAGTGGAACTCAACATTGCTTTCTTTTTCTGTCTTCTTCCTATCAGGTGATCATGGTGACTGGGGACCACCCTATCACAGCCAAGGCCATTGCCAAAGGTGTGGGCATTATATCAGAGGGTAACGAGACCGTGGAGGACATTGCAGCCCGGCTCAACATTCCTGTGAGTCAAGTCAATCCCAGGTAAGGCCTTTACAAAGCCTCTGTCCCTGGCCGGCACATCCTTTCCCACAGAAGCCCTCAGGGTCCCTTGGGGATATCTGGACAGCATCTCTGGAACCCTCAGAGTAAAATCTTTACTCTGCCAACCTAATGGCCATTTCCACCGACAAGTTTATATCCAGCCCGTACCGCTGATGAGCTGTGTAACCTTGGAAACATCTTGCAGTCCTGAACTTCCATTTTCTCAGTTATGAAATTAAGATGCTGTCCACACGGCAGGGTTGCTATAGGGATGGGATATGCCTAGCAAACAGCACTTAACGAGTGTGTGATACTGCATGGGGAGGATGTATCATTGCCTTCTCTGAGAGAAATATCGGAACTCAGTGTCACAGAAGAGGGCATGAGAGCAATAGCAGAGTCCCACCTCACAGAGGAATTGAGGCACATGGGGGCAGGGAGGGGGAGCAGGACTGGCATGAGTGTGCATAGCCAGCGGTCTCTGCCTATACCCTCCAGAGAAGCCAAAGCATGTGTCGTTCACGGGTCGGACCTGAAGGACATGACGTCAGAGCAGCTGGATGAAATCCTCAGGGACCACACGGAGATTGTGTTTGCCCGGACCTCCCCTCAGCAGAAGCTCATCATTGTGGAGGGGTGTCAGAGGCAGGTGAGCAGGACAGCAAGCGGCAGAGACAGGGCTAAGTCAGGGGCCAGACAGACTTTGTCCTCAAGCACCTTTGGTGTCTTCCCCGCAGGGAGCCATTGTAGCAGTGACTGGTGACGGGGTGAACGACTCCCCGGCGCTGAAGAAGGCTGACATCGGCATCGCCATGGGCATCTCTGGCTCTGATGTCTCTAAGCAGGCAGCTGACATGATCCTTCTCGACGACAACTTTGCCTCCATCGTGACAGGCGTGGAGGAGGGTGAGGAAGCTGTGTGGGCTGTGTGACATCCAGGATGTCTGAAGCCAGACCTTTGCTTCCTCTGACTTTCACACTAAGACTCCACACTGCTTTAGCTTTAAACCTCTTAGAAAAATGAGCAGCCAGCCACACCTCAGGGGCTAGTGGGGGGAGAGTGCCTCTAACCTCCCTGATGCTCTCAGAACCTCTCCACAGGCCGCCTGATCTTTGACAACTTGAAGAAGTCCATCGCGTACACCCTGACCAGCAACATCCCTGAGATCACCCCCTTCCTGCTGTTCATCATTGCCAACATCCCACTGCCCCTGGGCACTGTGACCATCCTCTGCATCGATCTGGGCACAGATATGGTGAGGCCAGAGGGTGGAGTACAGTCAGACCAGACAATCACTCGGAATAGGGGTGGGGTGAGCAGCAGATAAAGGGGATGCACCAGGACATCTGACCAGACCCTGACCAATAGACAGCAGATAAGCACGGGCCTGTAGGAAAACGGGAAATTTCTCCCTACAACCTGTAATACCGGGGATTGAACCCAGAACTCACTCATGGCAAGTGCCCCACCCCTAAGCTATACTCCTAGTGAGAAAAGATTATTATGTATGCAGTGTTCTGCCTACATACCAGAAGAGGGCACCAGATCTCATATAGATGGCTGTGAGCCACCATGTGGTTGCTGGGAATTGAACTTAGGACCTCTGGAAGAGCAGTCAGTGCTCTTAACCTCTGAGCCATCTCTCCAGCCCCAATAACAGGATCTTAAACACCAATGCACCGAATTCTGCTGATTCTTCACTGAGCAGTTGCTGCTCTTGTTTCCCCGGATCTCTTCAGATGCCTTCTCCTCCCCATGTGCTCTGTACACAGGTTCCCGCGATCTCATTAGCATATGAAGCCGCTGAGAGCGACATCATGAAGCGACAGCCACGAAACTCCCAGACTGACAAGCTGGTGAACGAGCGGCTTATCAGCATGGCCTACGGACAGATCGGTGCGCCCAGCCAGGGACTTGGGAGGGCGTTCCCAAAGGCTTCTTCTAAGTGCCTGAGAGGGATGAGTGACATTTCGGGAAAGAGTCCATCCAGTTCCCTGAGAGCCAGAGACGTCCATCTCTGTCTCGAGGGGTGGCCCTTTCCTGCCCTTCTCTACTCATGTCCCACCTTCTGTTTATGACCACAACAGGCATGATCCAGGCTCTGGGTGGCTTCTTCACCTACTTTGTGATACTGGCAGAGAACGGTTTTCTGCCATCACGGCTGCTGGGAATCCGCCTTGACTGGGATGATCGGACTACCAATGACCTGGAGGACAGCTATGGACAAGAGTGGGTGAGTGGGGCTGTGTAACTGCGATGGAAGTGAGAAGGCGGGGTAAAGCTGAAGGCCTGGCAGGAATTGGCCAGGAGCAAGCTACGGGCAGAAGATGGGTTAAGTGCCAAGTTTAGCAACTGCCTGAATGAAGCATGCTGTTTGCTGGTGCTATGTATCCTTCCGCTGACACGTTACCTCTTTCGGCCTGCCTCCTCCCCAGACCTATGAGCAGCGGAAGGTGGTGGAGTTCACATGCCACACGGCCTTCTTTGCCAGCATCGTGGTGGTGCAGTGGGCTGACCTCATCATTTGCAAGACTCGCCGCAACTCAGTCTTCCAGCAGGGCATGAAGTGAGCGCCTACCACCACCAGTACCTACCACCCAGACAGAGTCTTCTAGACATGGTCACCAACCCATACAGGCCAGGATTCCAAGACCAGAATCACCTCAGCTCCCAGGGCTTGGGTTTGCTAAGGAGGTATCTGGTTGTAATAACCTAGTTACTTATCCATAGCCAGGTTTGAAGCACACACACCCAAAAATTAGGACAGAATGGCAAGACTTTTTTTATTGAAATCTAACATTGCTCCTAAAGTAACTGTCATGGCTTCCTATCTCCATGTCCATCTTCCTTATTTTCCTCTCACCTTCCTCCTTCCTACCTCTTCCATTCCCTGTTTGAGTAGCATGTCCTTTGCCCAGTTCTAAACCCAGGGTCAGGTCTCCTGTACTCCACACCAGCACTTGGCACTTGTCCTGTGGTTCTGCATCTGCCCAGGGGGGTGTATTCAGGCCTTTCCTACAATGTGGTACCACGTGCCAGGCAGTGAATGAAGTGTCTTGCTCTAATCTCACAACAGCTCTTCCAGGTGGGTATGACTGTACCCTGTGTGGACCAGCAGTCCCCCAAGGTGAGATGATAAGGTCATCCAGCTGGTCAGGGCCTTCCAGGTTGATCTCTCCACCCCACACGGCAGTAGCTCACTCAGAGAGTGCCTGAGCTAGCCATCGACTTGACAGGTCTGATTCCAGAAACTGCCCTCAGAATTTTGTACTGTGGTGCTTTTTAAATTCTGATGCAGTGGATATATGTTAAGCACTTCCTGTGTGGTGACGCAGGAGCAAATGCTGGCTGGGGTCGGTATTTTGCAAACATCAAGACTTCGTTCAGTGTCTGTGATGAGCAACCACCGGGGTCTGTAGGAGATGCTGAGAAACGGAAGGCATCCATGGGCTCCGCCCAGAGGAGCTTTTTAAGACCTCTTGTTGGGAAGATGATATTTTCCCAGCCCATGGGCCCAGAGCAATAACAATTATAAGCTGTCCGGGGCCAGGCCCCTGTTGACTACTGTATCTCTGGCACTGAGTCACATAAGAAATAATAGTGAATATATGTATGATAGACAGTAACCAGAGGAGAGCAGAATAAACAGAAGAAGAAAAAAGTTTCCTTTGGTTACCTGAAGCATGAGAAGAGATTTGAAGAGGATGGGGATGAAGAACCCATCCCTCACATTTCCTTCCCCTCTGCCCCCGGGGGTGGCCCTGGAGCTCTCCCTCCTGACACCCTCCCCCAATGCCTTCTTTTCTTTGCCTTTCTAGGAACAAGATCCTGATTTTTGGGCTCCTCGAAGAGACGGCCTTGGCCGCCTTTTTGTCTTACTGTCCGGGTATGGGGGTGGCCCTCCGAATGTACCCGCTCAAGTGAGTGTCTCTTCAGATGGCTGAGGGAGTGGTAGGAACAGAGAAATCCTGGGCCCCTTATAGAACCCAAGCTCTAATTCCCTTCGATTCTACTTCTGTGACACTGTGCCAACCTCTGCGGCCCCTGACGCGTCCTCCCGCTGTTTTTCAGGGTCACTTGGTGGTTCTGTGCCTTTCCCTACAGTCTCCTCATCTTCATCTATGATGAAGTCCGGAAGCTCATCCTAAGGCGGTACCCTGGGGGTAAGCACTCCCACTCTGCAGACAGCTCAGACCCTGAGGTCCCAGAAGCCCTGAGCAGACCCACCTCGGCCTCTTCCTTTCAGATCCTGTATCCCACCTAGCTTAACATGGTTCTTCCAGGCCTCCACCTTTCTCTAGAACAGTGCTTCTCAACCTTCCTAATGTTGTGACCCTCAGGTTGGGGTGACCCACAACCATAAAATTATGTTCATTGCTACTTCATAACTGTAATTTTGCTACTGTTATGAATTGTAATGTAAATATCTGATATGCAAGATAGCTGATATTCGACCCCTGTGAAATGTTTGTTCAACCCCCCCAAAGGGGTCACAACCCATAGGTTGAGAACCACTGCTCTAGGATCACTGACCATTCGATTAGAAGAGCCCTTCAAAGTCATTGAATCATCTACACATTTTGCTGGTAAAAAAGATGCACGGAGGTGATTTATTTGTTTAGGATCATAAGGCAAGGAATAGAAACTGGCACCAGGACCCAGGGCTCCTGACTCCCAGGCATCAACTGAGGGTTTTTTTGTTTGTTTTTTTTTTTCCCTAGAAACATTTTTGATCATTTGCTGGGTTGAAATGGATGACCTACAAGCCACACACGGTCCATGAGCAGTGTTTGGGTTGAGTGGCCCCATATTTAAGATGTTTGGTTTTCTAACAGACCCAGCATCTAAAACTTAGGTGTTTTCATGTAAAATCTGAACCCTGACTTCTAAAACAAATGTAAAGGGCTGTCAGGCCTCTATTGCATTTCTTGAAGCACCAGTGGGACAGCTGTTTCCTTAGACGCTTGTCCCCTGGGGAGCCCAGGAGGCATTTGCATTTTCAGCATCTACTGAATGAAATGTAGGTCTCCTCTGAAGACAGGCTTGCCCCCTCCACCCCCTTTAAAAACACACAGCCCACCCACCAGTCGGGTTTGTCCCTTCTCCCTGTGCTGTTCCCTAGGCTTCTCCTGCCCTCTGACCTCAGCTATTGAAGCCCCCAGGGCGGGTTGGTCTTTCGCTCCCTTTTCCGCTCCTGCGTGCTGCAACCTTTATCCCATCATCTCTCTGACAGGCTGGGTGGAGAAGGAGACGTACTACTGAGCTCACTGGAAAAAGGAAGAATGGGAGAGATGGGGTGCTCTGGAGGTGTTGCTGGGGTGCTGGAGGGAAGGGCTGGAAAAAACTGGGGTGGTAGTTTAGGGGGAGGTTTGGGGGAGACAGAATGAGGTGACTGAGTGAACTGAGTTGACAGGCTTGGGTAAATAAACTTGAGGTGACTGCTCCACAGGTCCAACTGTGAACCCTCAGACAGTGTATTTTGGGGCCCCCTCCTCAGATCCCTCTCGGCCCACTCTGCCATGTTCTCTACTTTTCCCGAAGCACTGAGGGTTGCCTCTGCCCTCCCTAGGTCCCAGCCCTTTACCTCTCCCCTGTATTATTCAAACAGATCAACACCCAAAGGTTAACCCTGTCTAATCCAGAAGGAAATCCTCTCCCACCACCAAGTGTCTCTGTCTCTGGCTTCATTCCTCTTCCCACTCTTGGCTTCCTTAGCTTCCTACCTGAGTTCTCCCCCCCCCCCACCCCCCCATCCCCGCCGCTCCCCCTCAGACCTTGAAAACACAAAATTCTCCTTCTGTGAGTGTGAGCGCCTGAGGCCAGAAAGGGAAGCTGGTTGGGGAGGTTAGGACTGTCTCCCAGCCAAGGCCAGTTAGGAGCCTAGAGAGGAGAGCTGGTTTGGCAAGGAGAGATTGGGACATGCCGGCTGAAGGAGGAGACAGCAAAGGAAGGAAGGTAGGCAGTGACCACCAGTTTGCCACCTTGAGTCTCCAGGTGGGTGGGTGGGCTCTGGCTCTATCTCCTGCCTTTATAGACTGGCTCACAAGCGGATCAAATTCCCATCTCATCAGACTAGCCACAGGGGCAAGACCAGGAGGCAGTGTGCCACCAAGTGCCCCACTGACCCTGGGGTAGTGGTCCTCTCTGTCCACAAGGCTCAGGTGTCACAGAAGGTCCAGCTCTCTCAACCACATGCTCTTGGGAACACCCACCTCTTCAGAATAATTTCTCAGGCATCATGCTGCTCTGAGACCCCAGTCAGCTGCCAGTCTGTCCCCCCACCCTACCCCCATCCTGTCCCCGCTCTCCCACTCCCTTCCCCTTCAAGCCCATCCTGCTGAACCCACATCGTTTCCAGTATTGCCTAGCTGGTCCTGGAAAAGGATGTCCTGGCCATCGGCAGGAATAATCAGCTTAGGTCATGACACTGTCAGGAACTTTAGACACAAGAGAAAAAATCTTAAGAGAATCTGCTTTTGACCTCCCAGATGGCAGAGCCACTGCTCCCAGGCAAGTGCCCACTTTCCTTGAGACAGGAAGCTGGCTTCAGGTTCCTGTGGAATAGAGTTGTCTTCCCTTACTCCCTTCTGACCTGACATTTTTGCTGTGCGGACAGCTGTGCAGACTCTAAGCCTGGCCTAGAAAGCATTACATACCTGAACTTAGATGAAGGAGCCAAGCAAGTGAGAGACAGCAGGGAAACTGGAAGGCCTAGGGTGGAAACCAGAAGGACAAGACAAGCGTTAGGCCGGGCCCAAAGGCCTCCCAAGGGCTACTGTCTCATCGCAGTGGAGTTTTGCTTTATCATAAGTACCTTGAAATTCAAAAGCCGTGGCCTTGGTTTGGAAGTCTAAATAGGACACCATATTTATTTGGGCTTGATTAATTTGAGATCATTGACTTTGAACAAAAGTTTACCTTTGCACAATCAATAAAGAAGTCATTTGGTCAGTAAATTAAGGGCATAAACAATATTGCTAGGAGTGGTATATTTAGTCTGCCTCAAAGTATGCTTTTCAGGCACTTTAGAAATCTCTCTCCCTTTAGAATCAGCAAGTGCATAGGCTAATTATCATCAGTCCTGATATATTTGTTAAAGGAACATCTACAAGATCCTTATTGGTGACCTTCTGTAAGACTTTAGCTTGAGGTACTACATATGTACTTGAAGATAATAAAGTTTCATTTCTTTATGAGAAAAGAGAAATGACTCCCATGGTTGATTTCTTCACACCTGACTCCCTTTCAAATTGTGGTATTGGATGTGTGCTGTGGAAGGACTTGGCTTAGAACGGAACCAAAAGAAAGGGCAAATATCCGGAACAGTAGGGAAATAATCTGGCCACAGACGGTACTGTGGGAGAAGCTGAAGAGGAAGAAGTTAAGTTACAACATAACCTGGAAGAAAATGTAGTCAGAGCCCTCTTCCTCACGGCAGTGCCACCAGGAAGTCACAAGAGTTTGTCCAGGAGAGGAAGAGCACCCGTGGGTCTATGAGAAGCACGGCCATTTCTGTTTTTTTCTGGGTCAAACCCAAGTCAGCCCACTCCCAGTCTTAGAGGCACGGAATGGAGGTGTTGCCCTGGGGCTACCGCAGCCAATTAGCAGTCGATACTGTACTCACAGCCATCTTTAGGGGATGAGGTAAAGTGCATACAGCCTCGAAATCTATCTGAGTAGATGTTGGCAACCTTCGTGCATAGCCTGTATGTGATGGGCAGTAGGGAGGACCCTGGGCACTGAGATGGGGAACAGCTGTATGATGCACATTCCTGCAGGGGTTGATGAGGATGGGAGACAGGGAAACACTGGTTCTTACAACCTACACCAGAACCTCAGAATAACCATGAGAAGTCAGCTCCAGCACAAGCTATGTACCGGTCCCTTTTAACTCTCACTGTGGTAGTGGCGGTGGTAGGACTTGGCATCCTAGCAGCGCTCAGTGACTGCAGCTCACTCTGTGCCTTTAAAATATCAGTTTTCATTGTAAAAGTTAAGAATAGAACCGGACTAGAGATCACTTCGATCTCACCTCAGGGCCTGTGTTCTTGTTGGATCCTCTGCCAAGAACACTTTTCTTTCCCATGCCTGGCTTTCTCCCCTTCATTCAGACATTAACTTAGACATTACGGCTCCTGGGAAGTGCCTTCATAGCTGCCTCAGGCAACTAGCATTCCTGGCATTTTTTTTCTATTCAATTTGCTTTTATTCGTAAATCCTAACTCAAATTTAGGTATGGAAACAGATGGATGGATGAATGGATGGATGGATGGATGGATGGGTGGATGGATGGATGGGTGGATGGTTGGATATGATATGTTAAGGTATATTCACATAACGGAAGCCGAAGAGATGGCTCATTGGTTAAGATCACTAGATGCTCTTCCAGAGAGGATCAAGGTTCAAGTCCTAGCATCCACATGGTGGCTCATAGCTTTCTGTAACTGCAGTCCCAGATGGTTCAAACCCTTTTATTTATTTATTTATTTAGGCTTCTGTAGGCACTGCATGCATATGGTGCACAGACATGCATGTAGGCAAAACACTCACTGTCTTAGTCACTGTTCTATGGTTGTGAAGAGACACCGTGACCAAGGCAATTCTTACAAAGGGAGGCATTTAATTGAGGGTTTGCTTAAAGTTCCAAAAGTGTAGTCCATTATCATTCATGGCGTGGAGCGTGGCAGCATATAAGCAGGCATATAAGCAGAGAAGTAACGAAGAGCTACATTAGGCAGAGAGAGATGAGACCTAGCTAGGGTTTTTAAAACATCCAAGTCTACCCGCAGCACCCTCCTCCCCCCGCCCCTGTGATACACCTACTTCAACAAGGCCACACCTCTTAATCCTTCACAATAGTCCATCATTGGGAACCAAGCTTGCTAAAATATGGGAACCTGTAGGGGCCAATCTTATTGAAACTACCACGCTGTACACACAAACTGCATAAATAAATAAAAAGAAAAAAATATAGAGAAACCCAACTACCTTCGAGAGGATCATTGCCAAGGGATAAGAGACTCTACTGACGAGCCGGGCCAGCGTCTTTAATCCCAGCACTCGGGAGGCAGAGCCAGGCGGATCTCTGTGAGTTCGAGGCCAGCCTGGGCTACCAAGTGAGTTCCAGGAAAGGCTCAAAGCTACACAGAGAAACCCTGCCTCGAAAAACAAAACAAAAGAGAGAGACTCTACTGAGAGTAATGCTAGAAAGCAGGGCCAGGCTTCCACCCAGGAGGAAGTACCCCCATAGCATGACTCCTTTACTGAGAGAACTAGAAATGTGAAAATTCACCAGAAAAAGACGACAAGCTAAATGATCAAAATGCCAAGAACACATCCCAAAATGGTAGAAAATTAGTAGTTCAGTATCAATAACAAAGGGAGATGCTGAAAAAACAAACAAACAAAAATCCACTAAAAAAAAACAACAAAAAAAACAAGGTCTCATTGTGTATCTCTGGCATGCTTGAAACTAGAGATTTAGACTAGACTAGTCTCAAACTCAGATCTACCTGCCTCTGCCTCTGCCTCCGGAGTGCTGGGATTAAACGTGTGAACTCAGCCAAATGAGTCTTTAAAAAAACTCCCTTGAGCTGGGTGGGCTAATGGCATATGTCAGTAATCTCAGCCTCTGGAGGTGTGTGAATTCAAGACCAGCCTGGACCACAGAGTAAGACTGTGTCTCAACACCAAGGGGCTGAAGATGGCTCAGCAGTGAAGAACACTCACTGCTCTCCCAGAAGACCCAAGACCCATCTTTGGTTCCCAGCACCTACATCCAATGATTCCCAAACACCTTTAACTTCAGTTCAAGGAGGATCTGATGTCCTCTTCTGGTCTCTGTTGGCATCTGCATTCACGTGGTGTTACCTACCTACACTTGAGTAGACACATAGACATACTATAAAATAATCTTTTAAAAACTTAGCTCCGCCGGGCGGTGGTGGCGCACGCCTTTAATCCCAGCACTCGGGAGGCAGAGCCAGGCGGATCTCTGTGAGTTCAAGGCCAACCTGGGCTACCAAGTGAGTTCCAGGAAAGGCACAAAGCTACACAGAGAAACCCTGTCTCGAAAAACCAAAAAAAAAAAAAAAAAAAAAAACTTAGCTCCAAGATTCAAGATTTTTTTCCTTGAATTCTTTGAAGAATATTCTTTTGTTTTGTTTTGTTTTTTGAGACAGGGTTTCTCTGTGTAGCTTTTAGAGCCTGTCCTGGAACTCACTCTGTAGACCAGGCTGGCCTTGAACTCCCAGAGATCCCCTGCCTCTGCCTCCCAAGTGCTGGGATTAAAGGTGTGCCCCACCACTGCCCGGCTGAAGAATATTCTCATATTATTTAACCTCTACTAGAATATGAGGGGGAACATTTTGAATTGCCTAGTCTATTTTATGAGAGACAAGTATCATTTTAATAAAATTTTATAATGCTTATAATAACTCCATGGAATTCGAGGAAATATATTACAAGGAAAATGTTAGTAACAACTCATGCAGACTGGAAACATGACTAAATAATCATTTTAAACGACACTAAGAAGGCTAACTGTAAAACTCAGCATCTACTCTTGGTTCAGATATTGAGGAAAAAACATACTGGGAAATATAATTGTGTTCAGAAAAGAGAGAAAGGGATGAAGTCCAGAAAACTAATAACAGCAACTATACCTTTGAAACCCTGAGTAAGAAATTAGCACTTAAAAAATGCGAATAGGGGCTGGGGAGGTAGCTACCAACTGGTAAAGTGCTTGTCTCATAAGCATAAGGACCTGAGTTCAGATTCCCACCCCCACCCCCACTCCCCCACCCCCCGCCTCCAAGCACACATGTAAAAAGCCAAGTATTTTTATGTATATGGCTGTGATCCTAATGCTGGGAGGTATAGACAGGAAGATTCTGTTGCTTGTTGGCTGGCTAGTCTTGCTGAATCAGAGAATTTTATGTTCAGTGAGAGACTTTCCCAAAAAATAAGATGAGGAGTGATTGAGGAAGACAACCAGCATCTACCTGTACACACACACACACACACACACACACACACACACACACACACACGTGCCCTTGAATCTACACACTCATGAACATTTGCATACACACAAACAAAAAAATTTTTAATTAGCTAGGAGTAGTAGCTCCCATTTGTAAATCCCAGCATTTGGGATATTGAAGCAGAAGAACACACATTTGAGGCCTGCCCAGGCTACATAGTGAGACCATCTTTCAAAAAAAAAAAGTAAAGAGCCAAACTATAACTAGTAAAAAGCACATTGGTTTTTGGAAGAGCACAACTGCCTATAACACCAAGAAAGACATACTGTGGTGTTTTGAATGAGAATAGTCCACGCAAGCTTACATATTTGCATGCTTGGTCCCCAGTTGGTAGAACTGTTTGGGAAGGATTAGGAAGCACGGTCTTGTTGACAGAGTGTGTCACCGATGGCCCTGAGGTCTCAAAAATCCATGCCATTTCCAGTCAGCGTTCTCTCTTTCTCTGCTTTGTGGTTGTTGTTCCAACAGGTAAGCTCTCAGTTCCTGTTCCAGGGCCATGCCTGCCTGCTGCCACATTCCCCACCATGGTGACCATGGACTCTACCCCTCTGGAACTGTGAGCCCCAGCAAACCTTCCTTTATAGGTTGTCTTGATCATGGTGGCTCTTCACAGCATCGGAAAAGTAATCAAGACACAACCCAAATAAAGGAACAGCAGCAGTGACAAAAAGCCCTGGGAAGCTGGAAGCTGGGGGTTACAGGACACAAGTCAGTCAAATGCATCCTTAAATACCAGACACAGAGAACAGAGAGAGAAAGACTTGTTTTTGCAACAGAATCAAAACAAACGTGCTTGAGTCTTAGTGTGTACAGCATGCTGTATTAAAGAAAATTTTAAATCAGGATGACAAAAATAAAAATGTGAATGCATGGAGGACTAATTCTGGCAGCTGCTCAAGAAGACTGCAGGTATAAAGGTAAACAAGCTCCTCTACAGGAGTCAATCCAATATCAACAAACGTCTTCACTGTATTGTTAAAAAACGCAGCCAGGCGGTGGTGGCGCACGCCTTTAATCCCAGCACTCGGGAGGCAGAGCCAGGCGGATCTCTGTGAGTTCGAGGCCAGCCTGGGCTACCAAGTGAGTTCCAGGAAAGGCGCAAAGCTACACAGAGAAACCCTGTCTCGAAAAACCAAAAAACAAAAACAAAAACAAAAACAAAAAC